TATGGTTCTATAGTGTCGATGAATCTTGCTGTTTTAATGGCATGTATTTTTTATCCAAGAAATAAGTTTAAATATATTGAAGTTGTATTTCAACAGGTTTATGGGTTAATGGATGGAAAGAATAAGTATGAATTTGTTAGATCCGCTAGTTATGAGTTGTTTGCGGATTATGTTAGAATCCATGCCCCTAAACCTAGTTCTAGTGATTCCAGTTCATCTCAAGCAACTTCATCGGGGAAAAGACCTTCCCCGATTGATACCGAGCCTTCAAAGCTGCTTAGAGATCAGTTTAGGATGGAGTTGGCGAAGAAGAAAGTTGAAGAAGCTGGTGGGGCTTTAAATAGAAATGAAAAAGCAGAATTGGACAAGTATTTGAACGAGGATGATGAACCAGATTGTCCAAATTTTGATCTGTTGAACTGGTGGAAGGTGAACAACCCTAGGTTTCCTATCCTTTCTCTGATGATTCGTGATGTTTTTGCCATTTCCGTCTCAACTGTGGCTTCGGAATCATGCTTTAGCATAAGTGGTAAGGTATTGGATGCATTTAGGAGTTCTTTAACTCCGAAGACTGTTCAGTGCTTGATTTGCACTCAGGATTGGCTTCGTGGGAAGTTGAAGAAGAAGAAGGTGTTGAAGAGAGTTAGGAAGACCTCCTTCGCATGGAAGAAGGTTACATTTGTTTTAAATTTCAAATACATTCATGATTTTAATTCATCTGTTTATTTTCAGTTGAATGTTGATTGTTGACTGATATGCTGAAAAGGGAACGAAAACAAGGGTGTGATAGGTACGTTCTAAAATCTAGATTTTACTTCGGTTTTCTTCTTCCATATTCTTCAATTTTGCTGACTGACTGACTGTTTCTTTTTTTCTAAAAGTTGCTGGTTGTGTTGCCTGATGCCTGTTTGCTGTTTCTGCTGCCTACTTGAAGACTTGTAGTTGAATTGAATTAACAGATCATATGTGATGCTGTTGCTGAATGAAGAGTGATGTTGTTGCTGTTGCCTGTTTGCTGTTGCTGTTGTCTGTTGAAGAATGAAGACTGAATGAAGACTGAATTGATCAACTGAACTGCTGTTAGCTGCAATTCTATTCTGTATCTCTGTTGATGCTGCTTTGATGCTTTCTGTTCAAAATGTTTCTAAATTCAAATTTGATTACTAGGCTTTGTGACGTGTAATACTGTAAGGACCTTTTTAATGTGTGATCATCTGTGTGTTGTGAACTTGAAGTTGATCATTTGTGAGTTCAATGAGTTGATCAGTTGAGTAGATGATCACTGATCACTTGTGTGTTCATTTGTGTGATCATTTAAGTTGTGACTTTTACAGGATTACATATTCATAATTTCATATTTCCATTTCATTTGGAGTTGTGATTTTTTTTGAAATACTCTTTTTATTAGTTTTTTTGCCTTTGTGTGTTGTGAACTTGTGATTTCCATTCCATAGTTGATGATTCAGGAATCAGGAATCAGGAATGAGGACTTGAAATCCTGTAAAAAAAAAAATTGGCCTAATTAAGTTTGGCCTTTTTGTTCGATTTAAACAGCCCCCCGACCCGATTCCTCCGAATGTTTAATCGGCTCAGTCAGTTCAAGGGAGGTGGAATATCGGTTCGGTTTCGGTCGGTTGAATTGCAAAGAAAAAATCCAATTAGGCCTAACCGAACTCGGCCGAACCGACCGAATTACCAGTCCTATGTATTTAAGGTGAAATGATAGTTGGGAATTGAATGGTAGTCTAGTAGTTAGGTAGTTGTCCTTTTTGGTAATAGATCAGGGTTCGATTCCTACCAAGGGTTATAAGGGGGGATTTGCCCACATTTAAGTGAGGTCTATTGGGGTGGATTTTTTTCTTTAAAGGTGAAATGATAGTTTAGCCGTTGTAATAGCATATGTGCCGATTTAAATTAATATACAGGTGTTATTTCAAAAAAAAAAAAAAAATTAGCGGGATCGTAAGGGGGGTTTTACCCACATTTAAGTAGGGATGAAATGATAGTTTAGCCATTATAATAGTATAGGTACCCATTTAAATTAATATATAGGTACTATTTCAAAAAAAAAGGAAAGATAGCTTAGCCGTTTACAATTTTAAGGAGTTACCCATATATTAGACTAGGAATCAGCCTGTCAAAACAAATGCGAGTCATAACCTTTTATTTTAATGAGCCCAGTCTCAAGGTTTGTTCTTTGACTCAATAGTATAGAAAATTTAAACAGTACTAGTTCATTTGTATTTCTGCGTATTAGATTAGTGAACCAAAGGAAAAAGATACTCTTAACGAAGAAGTTTTAACGAATGCATTCACAAGTTACGTGTACTGATCACGTGGTTGTCCACCTCATCTAACTTCCTTCTTTCTCGTTCTCTAATCTTCTCTAATCTCTTTATTGTTTTTCCCAAAACTAAAAATAAAAAATTGAATGAATGCCTGTCTCTCTCTCCGTCTCTGAAATCAAACTCTCTCTCCAAAAAATCTGACACATCGGAGAAATCCATCTCCATCCTCGAATTAAATTCCATCTCTCAAGGATCTGTTTAATAATTATAAAAAACCTCAAATCAAATTCGTCTCTATCGCAAAATCAGCCAAAACTTTTGGATCTCTACATGTTTGGATCCCCGCCAACAGCCCGTCAAATAACCTGAGGTTGCTGCGGGAAGAAGGAGACACGTCATTGTTCATTTTGAACAACATGAATCGGTCCGATTACTGTGAGAAGGTCTTGTTGTGCCGGTTTTGGGTTGTTGAAATTTTGTATGTATATGTTCTTTTATCAGCGGGGTGAGGAGGTGTTGCTGTTCTTCGGCTTGTATGTAGTATGTATTCGATTTTGTATTGATTTGAAGATCGGTTATGACAAAAATTTTCGGTAATTAAATTAAGCCAAACTTCAAAGCTACTCTTTACGATTGTGTGTGGCTTGGTGATAGATCGAAGACCGGGAATGGGGTTAAAGTGGAATTTTTGGGAGAGTAGAGGTTGTGTTTGTTTTACAAATTACCACTATGGGGGGTGAAGACGCGAGCCCAGATACTTTTGGCTTATGCTTTCTTCTGATAAATATGACTTGTGCTGCCGTGGTAGTATTGATGGTGATCTGAAATTTTTTAATCGGCAAATCTGAAACTTTTTAAGGGAGATTTCCGATGTGCCGGAGTGTTTAATGTTGAGAAAGATAGTGTCTGTGTTTGATTACGTCATAGAGAAAGAGAGACAATAATAATTCGTTTAAAAATAAAGAGAAAAACATTAAATTGAAGGAAGAGATAGGGTGAGTGAGGTGGAAATACACGCAATCAGGTACACTTGGGTCGTTAATGCATTCGTTAGTATTTCTTCGTTGAGTGTATCAGAACCCGTGAACCAAAATACAAATAGGCCTAGAAATGCACTACATCGATAAATTAACTCAAATAAAAGGAGCAAGGAAGCTGGATCTCATGAATCAAATTGAAGGATGGGAAGATAGGAGCCGATGAAGCCTAGAGGGACATGAGGTAATTATAGAGAATTAGCTAATTGTAATTCTTATAGTTCCTATTTTGAATGTGTTAATCCGGATGTTAATTATGTTGATCCTGTTTTGATATTTGCTTCCCTTGATTCTTAAATTCGTCGGTTGTTACTATGGCTGGGAAAGGCCGAGGACCGAAGGGGTGGGATAGAGACAGAGAAAGGAAAAAGGAAGTTGTGAATATAAGAACAGTTGTTATTGTAGAGGATGATGTTATTAATGTTATTATGCTTGCTTCAGTTCTTTGATTCTGTTGTTAATGTAGTTCTTGTTGTTAATTTGATTCCTGAAACTAAATTAGAAATTGGAAGTGATGACAATGATGATAGTTTTTAATTTTTTATTTGGTATAAGCATGGAAAAGATATAGGGTATGCTATGTAGTTCATCTTTTAAGTCCTGGATTCCTTGTCATGGTTGCATGTTGTTGTGTTGCTAAGGATTGTTGTAAAAGGCATGCAAATGATTCCTTGATGGTCAGGAAATATAAAACCAAGTCTTTAATTGAAATGAAGAGAATGAACAAGTTTAAAGAATTCGGTCCTATGGAGTTGGAAAATTCTGATTTAGGTTGCTCTGTGAAGGGGTCAAATATCATCCCTTATGTTTCTTTCTGTGAATATCATTCGTGCCAAACCTTTCCTAGGTCACCAAGGTTTGTTTCAGTTTTTATGGTTTGCCAAATGGCCTTATGGATCTCTTAAAATATTGGTTCAAACAACGTGTGTTTGCTGATTTTTTTTTTTATTAAGTGCAGAAAATCAGAATTTAGTCCGCCTTGTGAGGGGGTCAGAGGGTCATTTCTCCTATTTATTGGTCGCTTTTCTGGGATTTATTTGCATGGATATCTTCTACGTTTAATCTAGTTTAATGTTGTTTTTACAGCTCAGTAAACAGACTCCTGGATTGCCCGAAAATCTGATTTAAACATTGACATTTTCATCACTGAGAATGCAGAAAATCAGAGCAGACACCTTCTGTTATCAGGCCTATTTCTCCTGTGTTTTAACTCTTTTCCAGAATTTCGTTTTCGAAAAAACGATTCTCCATTTGGTGTAGTTTAATGTAGTTTTTACGGGTAATTAAACGGAGATATGGTTTGTCCAGAAATCATGTTTGAACGTGACTCATTAGTTGCTGAAAATCTGAAACGTTCCGTCTGTTTTGGAGCGCTCGTTTTCCCCGAGTTCGGAACTTTCTTTTCTTAATTTTTTCAGTTTTGGATGAAACTCATGCATAAGCATTCGTCTTCAACATTGTTTTTTTGTGTGCCAAAGAAATCTGCTATATCCAAATTGGAAGTATCATGTTCCTTTACAAGCAGGAACGAAATCCTACGAGGGTCAATATCAATTTTTTTTAAAAAATACCTGATTGGTGCTGACAAATTTCCGAACTATTAGTGAAACATGCTATCCGCACAGATAAAAGCAGGAAAAGGGGAAGAAAAGAAAAAAAGAAAAGGACTACGTACCCGAGAGAGCCAGTGCACGGAAAATGCCGAGTAAAAAACATCTACAGATTTAGCCGGGAAGAGACTGCCGTAAAAGGACCCCGGAACTCCGGCAGCAAAATACGGCCAGTGGCTGTCCGAGGTTGGGAGGAGCTGAAAGAGGTTGTTGAAGTCATTAGAGGGAAGATCAGAGAAAAATACTGAGAACTCCGGCAGCTGATCAGGGCCATAACCCAAGGCCTCGTATCGCTTAATGATATGATTGATGATCAAGTCGACGATGTAAACGGTGTTCCTGCCGGAAGAACATCCCAAATCCGCCACCACGAACGGGGTTTCCCTTTCCAGTGGGTTGCTCAGTTGGACTGTATCCAAACAATCCCTTAACTCATGCAACATAGACTGAACAAGTTGAGCCTACCATACATTACAAACATGATCGTGAGAATTAATTTGAGTGTGTGATATGTTTTTAGGTGTGTGATATGTAACAAATAAAAAATCATCATTATCGTAAATTAATATTGATCTTGTAAATGTCAAAAAAAGAAAATTAGAGCGAAGCGATTAATTATATATGAACTATAACTATGAAGTGATTAATCAATTAACCTGGACTCGAGAATTGTTAGCATAGCTTGATTCTCCGTTGCCTCCTTTCATGCTGAGCAGTTTTTCCAGCTCTTTCCCGGGTGCCATCTTGTCAGCCGTAGCAACTTAGTTTGGAAAGAAATATTTGGTTTGTTTGTATTCTTTTTGTCTAGAAATGTTCGGTTTGTGAAGGAATCAACTAAATTTATAAGGATAACAGGTCACAATAATTGAAGGTGGATATTTTGGTACAAAAGATGTGAATATATTGATCGACAGTTCGACTTTGAAATAATTTTTTATTTATTTCTTATTTTTTGAAGCTGTGGATATATTATTACCGATTGTTACATACTATTTCCATTCCAATTCAATAGACCCATTTAGACATACACGGAGATTAAGAAAAAGTGGGTAATATAGTTTATGTAGTTAATTTTAAATAAAGTTCCTATCACACCCTTATTAATAATGACTAATGAGTTATTAGTTGATATAAGAGAGTAATAATTGAAATTAATTAAATGTTCTTGATTTGAGTGAAAGTGAGAAGGGTATATTAGAGAGTTTATAAAAAAAGTTAATTAATTGTCTGAAATGAGACTAAATTTTGAAACATCTCAAAAAGAAAAGTAAACCTATTGAAATGAAATGGAGGGGGTAATTGGCAAAAAGAAAAGAAAATAAATAAATAAAAACAATGGCATTTCCAAATTCCAATCTCAATAATTGTAATTTTATAAAGATAAGCTGTCACTATAATTGAAGGCCTCGATGGTTCGTCAAACTTGATAAGATAAGACATCTGAAGATGTGGATATATTGATTGATTGTTCAACTCTGCTATCATTTTTGTGTTTATTAGTTTTTTGAAGGTGTGGACATATTACCAATTGTTACATAATTGGCTAAAAGAAAAGAAAAAAAAAATTAATAAAAAAATAGGTGGGCATTCCCAAATCCCAATCTCAATAATTGTAATTTCGTAAAAATAAGACGTCACAATAATTGAAGGCCTCAATGATTCGTCAAACGTGATAAGTTAAGAATTAGGACCTGTGAAGATTTGGAGATATTTATCGATTGTTCAGCTTTGCCATCATTTATTTATTTATTAGTTTTCTAAAAGTATATATTACCGATTGTTGCATAGTTGGCAAAAAGAAAAGATAATAAATAAATATAAACAATAGGTTCCTAAATTGCAATCTTAATAACTGTAATTTCATAAGATAAGATCTCACAATAATTGAAGGCCTCAATGATTAGTCAAACTTGATCAGTTAAGACCTCAATGGGAACCCATTTTATGGTAATTTTTTTGATAATTGAGTGTCGAACTTTGCAATCATTACAGCTAAATATTTTTTTTATTAATGTTATATTGCCGAATGTTAGATGATTGGAAAAGATGAAAATAAAAACAAAAGGTACGCATTCCCAACCTCAACAATTGTTCCGAAAGCACTAGAAAAGGGCAGTGCTTTGACCTTTCACTTTCAGTACACCTTCAAAGTAAAAATGATACGTTTCTAAAGTACTAATGCACCGATTTTTGTTTTTCTTTTGAATAACAAAACACATTACAAGGGTGATGATTTTTTGCGGGTTCCTGACCTATGAAGCCAAAACCTATATAATTGTTTTTTTAAAAAGCTGCTGAATGTATATTTTTTGTTTTGAAATTATCAAAAAGATGCTATAAATTATTTAATTTAGCAAAGCATAAAAAATAATTATTTAACTTAATAATTATGTAGGTTGCAACATGGATGTGGTGAGATTACTCTTTCATTTAAACTCACTTTCCGGCGACAACATCTCAAATTCCTCGTAAGACAATATACTTTAGCATTTGGGCGGGCGCAAGTTCTTCTTTATGGAGTCGATCATCGGCCTGATAATACGATCTGTCCGGTACTCACAAAAGCACTGGTTCAGCTCCAAACAACATTCCGTGACGGTTTCAGGAACACGAGTTGCCCCCAACATGGACGCAGGAGTTTCAAATTAGTACAATGAACTGCCTTGCTTCCTAGTACGCGATCACCAACAATCATCCCTAACATCATCATCATCATCATCGGGTGAAATAGGGCTCTTAGGGGTCGTAGTTTGCATGTATATGGATTTGATGCGTAAACAACTTTCTGTGTTGGAGTCACTACACAAAATTAACACATTTTTTATTGGTCATTTTGTTGTCATATTTACATTGCCGGTAAAATAAACACAATCCGCGCATTCTGTGTGTTGTAACTATAAATCCGCGGTTTGATTATGTGAAATGCGAACAAAATAATTGTATGAGATAATGAGAACATCACATAGTTAAAAAGCTATTGATCATATCAAATATGCTTGAGAAGTTGAAGACGGATCTTCTGAGATTTTAAAGGGTGGTACTTTTTACAGCCCCTATTTGAACTTCTTTCAGCCTCCAAAATTCCCCAATGAATGCTTTTACCCCTCTTATTTTTTTCCAAACAAGTTTGAAGTAGAGAGAGAAAGAGAGAGAAAATGAGTGAAGAAGAGGTAAAAACCCAAAAAATAGGAAAAATTGGACTGAACGAAGTGGTTAACCGGCCGATTTGGGCTCGGACGTGCGGGTTGGCCTGTCGGTTGTTCTTCGAACGTCCAACTCGGTTGTCCAAAGAACAATTGGACGAAAATCTTGGGCGTCCGGCGATGGAATCGGCGAAAAGTCCGACGGCCAACATTTTCACATCGGTCAGCTCTGGCCGAACCACTTATCCGTCGGTTCGGTCGCTGACCGGCCGAGTCATCCGCCCGAGTTTCTGTCAGACGGCTAAGCCTTCCGGTTCATTATTGCCCGGGCGGTTTAGTTAGCCGATCTGACCGGTTCGGTTTGTCATTTATTTTTTTTTGAATTTAATTTTTGTTTAGTTTAATTTTTTAATCATGGTGAAATTAGCTATTATGTTAGTTTAATTATTGTTTAGTTTAATTATATATTTATGCAGTTTAATTATAATTTATTATGTTATTATTATTTTCAAGTAATATGATTGACATTTGCAGGATTCATTTGACGAGTTGGGTGGCGATGGTGTTGATTATAATAAACATTTTGAGACAGATAAAATATTTTCAAAGAAAGAGGAAGCTACTGATTGGGTCAAAGGCATCGGAATTTTCTATGGTATGAAAATAAAAATAGTGTTGGGCAAGAAAAAGAAAGGCACTTTAATGAGATGTTGTAAAGGTGGAAAGTCTAAAGGGAGCATTGATGATGGTGATGGATACATGCGCACAAATTCGACTGCATGTCCATTTAAGATATTTGTTCGACCGGTTGGTGATAAGTACATGATCCGTGTGTATCCTGGTTGACATGGAATGCACAACCATACACTGTTTGATGAAGATCATTCTACAAGGGGACTCAGCGATGAAGTGAAAAAAGTTCATAAAGAAAATGTCTGCAAATGGGTTCAAGCCGTGCAATATTATAGCAGTGATTAAGATAGAATTTCCGGATAAGCGGGTCAACAAACGACAAGTGTACAATTTCAGAGAAAAGTTGCATAAGTTGGGGTTCCCGACATCGGTTGATTCAAATTGCACGAATGTTGCCACAAAGACTCTATCGCTTGCCAAGCAACATTGGTACATCATTGTGATGGATAAGGATAAGGAGACAGGTGCGCTTACTCGTGTTTTCTTTGCAGATCCTGATTCTATTAGTTTATTTTGCACTTATTACTGGTTCGTCGACATAGACTCTACATATAAGACGAACAAGTACTCCATGCCGTTTGTTGAGTTTATTGGGGCCACACTGTGCAATCAGAACTTCTTGATTGCATATGCGCTTATGAGCGATGAGACAGTGGAGAGTTATGGTTGGGCATTGAAACAGTTCCGCGATTTGCTTTCAAAAAAGTTGTATCCATGTGTCATTGTTACTGATTGGGAACCGAGATTGATGGGGCCTATTTGTGAGAATTATCCTGATTCTGCACACTTCTTGTGCACTTGTCACATATACATGGATGTAGACCGACATCTCCGTGAGACATTGAAGTTAGACACGACCACTGCACATTCTTCCACATACAGACTGTGGAAATCAGTGATGGAAGTTGAGACAGAACCGGACTATGACATAGCATTTGCATGCATGAACCGTACTTAGTCTAGTTTTCCTGCAGTTACGAAATATGCCGCACAGACATGGTTGGTGCATAAGTACAAGTTCGTGAAGGAGTGGACGAACGGTGTATTTCACATGGGCAACACCACTACATGTAGAGTTGAGAGTGCTCACAAACAGTTTGGGGGAAGGTCGTCTTGGCCATTCAGACTCAGCTTGATGAGATACGGTATTTTCTCACTCACTTATGTTCTATTTCTTCAGTTTTAAAGTCATTTACAATTGTTTTTATTTAAGTTACTTAAGTAAATATATTTTCACATTGATATGTAATTGAATTTGATTTCAGGTATAAACTAGAGTACTCGAGAAATAAAATTGCAGTACTGCGTTGCGATTTTTCACTAAATTGCTTGAAAGGTCTAGTTTCACATAACTGTTTGGAACTGCTGAACAACTAGTTGGGGATGGTGAAGAAGTTAGGACCAGAAAAGAAGTGTGCTCATGTGGCATATTGGACTTGTCGAATTCCTTGTGCGTGCGCGCTGAAAAAGGCAATTGATGCCAACACGCCGGTCACTCTTAGGGATCTCCACCCATTCTGGTCGACCCTTGTTATCGGTGGGAATGTGGATACTGGTGTTTCGAGTGATATGGATGATGGGCGTCACTATTGGAATCAGTTGGTGGAAGAAGTGAACAATGCCGATGCTGCAGTACAGCACAGTATAAGTCGGATGGTCCATGATTCACTTCACCCTGGCCAGGATTTGCGTCGAAGAACCGGCTCTGGTGAAGAGATGGAAGGGGCGACCGAAGGGGGCAAAATCATAGAAAAAAACAACACCAAATGTGTGGGCTTACAGGGATAACAGTCAAGGGAAGACTACCATAGCCAATTCAAGCAAGGGGAGCCCCCATCGTCGTCAGACGACCGTATAGATGCGTCAAGAGTATGAATTAATAAATTGTACGAATTACTAATTCAATTGTACAAATTAATAACTTATTTGTACCACATTATAAAATATGCTCTTATTAATAGATATTTTTGCGAAAGATATTTTGATGTTTGGTTTTGTTCAATGCATCCCGTGGATCATTCGGGATTACATTACCGAATATCTTGATGTCATCGAG